TCTCTCTCTCTCTCTCTCTCTCTCTCTCTCTCTCTCTCTCTCTCTCTCTCTCTCTCTCTCTCGTCCCAGTCCTCTCACATCATCATTGTCTTCGACTCCACCCTCCTCAGGCCCGTCATCGTCGTCGTCTTCGTCATCATCAGAACAATGGTCCGGGGCCTCGTACTCGCTGCTAGATGCCTCGTCGATGTTGTCATCATCGTCCAAAACTCGCGGATCATGAACTTGAGGCCTCTTCTTCTGCCCTGCCTGGGAACGAGTCCTGAATCCATCTACGGAGATGGGTGTCGGTGCACCGCCTCCGACGACGCCCACCTCGCCCAGCAACCTCCCCACAGCCTCTGCCACATCCCGTCTACCTCTACCCCTGTCACGGTTCCCCGGAGGACGCCCGCGTGGTCTGCCTGTGCTCCCTCTCACATGTGCAACTTCACGTCCCCCACGAGCATCAGGTGTCTTCCTCTTCTTTGCACCCCTAGTTGCCGTGTTGTCGACAATCGCGGAAGACACTCGGGCAGGAAGTGGAGGAACACCGGCTGAAGTCACTAGTCCCGAATGAGGTGGACAAAATGCACCCGTACCAATAGCAGGTACTGCTTGACGGCTGGTACCAAGGGGTGCAGGTCCTGCAGGGCGTGGGAGAGGGGGAAGCACCTTCTCCACAAGAGGAGGGACTTGTCGTGGAGGCATGGGAGGGATGGAGATGCTTGGTCCTCTCATAATGCCTCGCCCATGCAAGGCTGGCATAGGTGGCACAACATAGAAGTTGCAAGGTCACAAAGTGGGGGAAGTTGTGGCAGCGGAGCCACCTCCCACCATCTCCCTCTCTAAGCGCGTCTCTATAGCCCCCCCGACCGACTACGGACTAGGTCCAATGGCGGGTCTACAGCGGGAGTTGCAGCTGCAGGACTCTCCCTCGTCATCTCCACCTGTCTCTCTCTCTCTCGTACTCCTGTTGCTGATGTGCAAAGATCGTTCGCTGCAGGTGTCTCCCCCATAGGTACCGTAATCTGCACAACCGAGTCCACAATGGGGACATAGTGTACTGTCGTCTGCAAACAAGTGTTACCTGGCCCCGTAGACTCCTATTGCGCTACACAGGTGTCAACACTTGCTGTTGCACCGTGCGAGGTGACACCATCGACGCCATGTGAGGAGGGCACTGCAGAGGACAGCACTAGGGTGCATGACATTGCGGTGGACTGCGCTGCAGCCGAGGGTGGTGCTGTCGATTGTGCTGCGAGGGAAGGTGTTGCAGAGGATGGTGGTGCGGAGGACGGTACTGTAGTCAAATGTGTCGTGGGGGAGGGGCCCACGCCCTCATGCAATCTATCATCCTGGCATGCTTCCATCGACTCCCCTCCTGCAAGTGTGTCCTCCGTAGGCTGGCGAACAGAATCTCCCTGATGATGTGGCGACGACCGCCCCGACTCGCAATGTGGCATGCCAAACACGGGAGGGTCTTCCCCGCTCACACCTGCACTAGGACCAGCCTTTCCATCAAATCTCGTTGGTGCAAATACTGTGTCCCCTGACTCCCCTCCCTCTCTCTCTCTCTCCCCTCCTCCCCTGCTCGTTTCACGTACATCCTCCTCTCCCTGACTTGCCCTTATGTCCATGGCAGTGGCGAAGGTGTGTCTTGTGTCGTGCAGGTAGCCGTCCAAGGCGTCATCCATGTCGAGGGTGTCATACCTCTCCCAAAGGCCCCGAGTCACAGGGTCCCCTCCAACTCTCTCCTTCCCCTTCGTGCTTTCTCTCTCGTCCCCTAAATCCTTTCCCGCCCACACATCATCTTGCAACTCCTCCCACACTGCCACCTCATCATACTCCCGCTCTCCCCGCAACAAGCGGCTGCTACCACGATCTCTGCCATCCTTGTGGCGTCTGCGCTCGGCAGCTTCCACCTCCTCCACAATGGTCATGTTGTCAGGGTAGACCTCGTCAGCAATCCCCTCCTGCTCCTCAAGCGGCTGCTCATCCCTCAAATCCTCCCACACATCGACAAACCTCTATCGAGGACCCGTTGATGTTCCAATGGATGAACACGAGCTTCCGCAGACTCTCACTAGAGAGGTTGTTACGCCTCTTCGTGTGAATGAAGTCGTGAGAGGCCCAGTTCCTCTCGCAAGGAGAGGCGGTGGACCACATACCCAATACCTTAATCGCAACCGCCTTCAACACCGGGAAAAGGGTCCCATGGAGGTACCACCAGTACGCTGGGTGTATCGACTTCGCATCCCTCATTGCCCGATCATTCCACCAAGTCGGCCTGGGTTTCGCTGACGGGTCATCGTGGTGGAATAAGTGAAAGCCCATTCCACATCTTGTAATGCTCCTCTAAGTGTGCTCCCTCATCGCAGTACCTCGCCATATGGTCATCCCTCATTGCCCGATCATTCCACCAAGTCGGCCTGGGTTTCGCTGACGGGTCATCGTGGTGGAATAAGTGAAAGCCCATTCCACATCTTGTAATGCTCCTCTAAGTGTGCTCCCTCATCGCAGTACCTCGCCATATGGTCATCCCTCATTGCCCGATCATTCCACCAAGTCGGCCTGGGTTTCGCTGACGGGTCATCGTGGTGGAATAAGTATAGCCCATTCCACATCTTGTAATGCTCCTCTGAGTGTGCTCCCTCATCGCAGTACCTCGCCATATGGTCTAGTGCGCTCTGCACAAGGGGACCCTCATGTCAGACAAGAGAGTGATGTCGCGCCGTCGAGGGTTGACCAGGTATGCAAGCGCATGGGCGGGCTGCCGCATCATGCCGCAACGCAAGTGAACTCTCTCCAGAATCTCCTGCTGGTCCTCCTCTGAGAGCTTTGCCTTATACATCTGTGCTCTCAGAGTGTCCTCAAACCCCCAAAGATCGGGTGGTGACGAGCCGTCGTGGTCCATATCGCAGAGGAGGTTATAGGCCGGCTTTATGACTTCCTTCACACTCTCCATTCCTGCCCAGAATACACTCGACAGGATCAGTTGTTGAACATCCACCTCATCCTCTGCAGCTTTCCCATGAAACCGAGTGCCCTTCCATTTTGTGCTGCTGACCACGAGCTCCAGGATCGGTGCCTGATCCAAAAGTCGATCCACCATCTGGTAGGCTGACCCAAACCGTGTGTCACATGGTTTGATCAAGTCCTTCATCCCCTTCTTGCCTTTGAACTCGCGATGATACTTCAACGGCTTTTGGTGGGTCCTGAAGAACGTCACAATTGTATGTGCATTCCTCAGGACAGGGGACACCCAACCTAGCTCCGTGATGTCCCGCAACAAGAGCGACAAGCAGTGCGCAGCACAAGGGACCCACGGGATGCGTGATATGATGGTCTCAGGATGACCCTGCAAGCACTGCGCAGCCACCTTATTGGCGTAAGCATTGTCAGTGCACATAGCATTGACATGCTCCAACCCAATATCCCTTAGAACCTCCTCCCACAGCAATGCAAGTGCAACTCCCGTCTTCTCCCTATCAGACATGTCGTATGTCTGGATAAGGACGCGACCATCCTCTCCAGCCGCGATGAAGTTCATGATGGGGGTATACTTCCTCGTTGTCGCCCCGTCCGTCAACATCGTACAGCCTGTGATCTTCCACTTTGCCTTCTTAGGCACCACGACTTCCGACATCTTGTGGTACACAAGATCGAGAAGCCGTGTGCGCAGGTCATTGTATGCAGGCAAACGAAGCTCTGGCCCCAATGTCGGTCGCATCAGTGAAACAATAAACTTGTGCAGCTCCTGCGTTATTTCTAGACGCACAAAAGAAAAAGGCACCCTAGCTCTGAACAGGGCCATTGCCCACAACCTCTCGTACTGCTGCTGCAAGCCACCCACAGCCCAACTGTCTAGCTTCATCTGCAGGAATACACGGTTATGGGGCACAACGACACCAGGCTCATTGACCGTCAACCCTCCCCCGTGCCGTCTCCCCCCTCCATCCCCTCCTCGAAGAGGTTGTGTCTGAACCCCCCTCAAGCCCTCATGCAAGCGATTGATCTCATCCTCCAAAACCTGACCGCCAGCCTCCCCATCGCTTGAACCCCCAATGTCATCCAGTCGCCCACCAGAACTACCTACACCAAGCAATCCACCTGCCGGCGCTCTAACCTTGCAAGCCCTCCTTAGATCCTCCCTCTCCATCTCCTCCCCATGCTCCTCCATGACCCTCTCAGCCATCCTCCTCGCCACCGGGTCAACAATGGTCACCTGATCATCAACCTGTACAGGATCTCCCCTGTACGAAATCTGCAATGAGCTAGAGGTCGGGTGAAATGCTTCTCTGCCACCGTCCTCGCCCCGGGAAAGATCTCGGAGCACAACGTGCACTTCATCTTATACTGACCCTTCCCACGGATCCCCACCTCTTGCCCTTGACGCACATATC